AGCCTCTATGAGCCTCAGTTTCCTATATCTATAAAATGAGAATGTTGAAATTGATGATTATATGAAGCTGCAAACTCATAGAGTTACTAACAGAAACAGGACCAGAACTCTGATCTTCCGGCTCATAGTTTTTCCTGCATTTTGTTACCTTTCTTGTAGACTGTGCAAAAAAACAAAAGATAATGAAAATGAATGACATTTTTAGGATGATCCTTGAATCAAAAATGAACCATTTGATCTACATGCAGCAAAATATGAAATCCTTAAACCAAGTAGGCACTTAATAAATGCTGCTTGAATGTAAGGTTCCATCAATAACTGCACTTACTACATTGACCTCAGTCAGGCAAGTTATTAAAGCCCTTTGTGTCCATTTCTTTAAACATCTAAACATTGAATCTGAGTCACAGATTATGACTATTATGTACACAGAATACCTCACAAATATTAATTTCCAAAATTAAGGGGCAAATATTGCATAAGCAGATGACTGTCTGAATAAGGAATATAAAATTCTTCATTTGGTTTTGTCTTCTGGTGCTACTTAACATGTGCATTTTGAAAAACTCAAGAGATCTATTTAATTAAACAATTTTCCTTCATGCTTCCTCTCTAAGGAATCCTCAGTTAAAAAAAAATTGGAGCATTTTAAAGTATTTTGCTCTTGAATTTGAACAAATGTTACAAATAAAAAAGTCTACATAGACTATTTTGTTTACAATTTTTCTTTCAAAATTGAAAATCAGTACCCTATAGTATTATAAAATTCTACATTCAAACTTACTATAGCTCTTCTAAATGATACCATAAGCAGTGTATGATTCCCTAAAATGTCTTCAAAGCGTATGTATTTCACAGGGAATTTAGCAAGATTGCAGGAAGACTGATCATATTTACTCCAATAAGTGCAGAAAAAATCTACGGAGAAAAAGTACAATATAAATGCAAAATAGTAATGAAATCAACAATACAATTTCATACTGCTGACAAGAGAATATTCCAGAATGTCTGTAGATGTTTAAATACAGTCTAAATGTAGAAAAGTTAATTAGAATCTTAGAACTGAAAAGCAATTGAAAAGGTCATCTAGAACAACCTCTTACACAATGCAAGAATTTTTTCTATTTCTATATACAACCTCTCCCTGAAAACTTCTAGAGACAGGGTGCTAGATGCATCTCACTTCACTGTTGAAAAGCTGTAAGCTGCATAAGAGCTATGCAGACCAGTATCACATCTCCATTTAGTTGTCACTTCTCCAGTTCACACATCTTAAGTTCCTCACATGAAACTGTTTCCAGAACACCTTAACCACCCTCATCTGAATACCTTCCAATTAGTCAATCTCTTTTAAAATGCTGCACCCATAAATGAAAACAATAATGGAGATGTGATTTGACCAGGACAGAATTCACTACAACTTTCTTCTTATAACCTGAACACTGTTCTTCGGCAAATGCCGTCTAAGATTGATGAAATGTGAGTGACATACCAAGAAACACACTTCTAGGTCTCTGACAACACAAAGGTTTATAAGAAACATGTAGTAAATCTTTGTTTTCAGTTTTTCCTATTTTCATATAGAATCAAATACTCAAATTGCTATAATCAGGGTAGCCTTCTTTTTAAGTACAGAAACAGGAAGAACAACAACTTAATTGTTCTGCAATCCTACATTTATGAATAACATCTAGTAGGCTTTGTCAGGCTTATAGTAAATGTTCAATAAAAGCAATGCTACTCATAGTTCATAGAAAAGATAAAGCAGATTTGAGCAGAAAAGAAAATTCAAGGAAAGATTCCTAACTTAATAGTTAATTTGATTACATTAGTAATAACTCATAACCTGATCCACAAACAAATCACTAGTTTATGTGAAACTAGGCTCTAAGGACTAGTTCAAGTAAACTGCAGTTGAGTTTGATTTATTTACCAATTTTTTATCCCCTACAGTTTAAAGATCATTAAGAAAAACAGAGATGTCATTGGTTTAAATGACCAAACAGGAGCACCAGATATCAATTCCCATATAGCTCCTAAAGAGTTTCATTTTTATAATTCCAGCACCCAGCACTGCCAGGCACATAGTTAGTACTTTAAAATATTTGTTGAATTACAAAAAAAAAACACCTCAGGAGACTCAAGGAATTCAAATAAGCAAACATTTAACACCAGTGGGCCAAGCATAGATACAAAATGAAACTGCCCCAGGCCATAAGAATAAAGCAACAGGTCTAGACTACAGTTATTCCAACAAATTTCCCAGACCCACATTAGAAAACTTGGGATTGGCTTTAATTTTTTTTAAGTGAAGAGGAATTGAGAACTTCAATACTGACATTCAAATCACTAAATGCATTAGGTCACAAACTTTTTTAAAACAACTTCAAAAAGGTCAAATAAATCAATTCACAGATGAAGACATTCTCTTATAAGAATCCATTTAAAAAGTTAAATCTGTTTTACTAGCATAGATCAAATCTGAAAATATAATCAATACTTTATCCCTGAAACTTAAAATTTACTATAATAATATATTAACAAATTAAGGAAAATATTTTTTCAGAGGACACCAGTCTGTTTTCAACTCGACACATACAGGTAAGTTCCATTTACATTAAGGCCTCTTACAAGCACTCAACAAGAGAATAAATTGAGTTCCTCACATATCTCTCAAACCATCTCATATTTATATAACATACTGACATGCATAATTGGGAAAATGTGCTAAGCACTTGTTAAACCGTAAACTGCGGATTTATGCTCAACGCAACATATTACGATGCAGATACTTGGGGTTTTAGACATGCAATTCCCCTTAGCATTAACGTAAACTCTGAGACTAAAGCCCTATGAATTGAGATGAAAACACAATCCCAGACTGCTAACGCTATAGCTTACTTTCTTGTCAAATGGAAACATCCCACAGTGCCCTTAACAGTTACTTGATGTGAATTTTAAGCTTTCGACAAAAGTATCCTGGTGTTTCAAGAATTAGTATCTATGAAATTGACACAAAATTCCCCACAATCTAGACCACAGAAAAAACATAAACAAAAAACAAAAACAAAAAAACCTCTATTTGATAAAGCTATTTGACAAAGTTTTAAATAACGACTACTGACTACTTCCTTTCATCCCTTCCCCATTCCAACTGCATACTTTTTTTTTTGAAAAGCACAACTGTCATTCCTGATAACAAAAGTTGTTACTGCATAATCTCTCAAGCTTGAGGGCCTAGATTTTTGTAGCCTGAAAAGTACTAGTTTATTTTGTTGTTCACTGATGCAAAGTAACAACCAAATGGGCCAACGTACCCTGAAAAAGGCAGAAAAAACAAAGTATTTTACATATTGGTCTTTTTCCAATTCATTATCATATTCAACTAAAACTATATAACAAATCAGAAATAACATGGTAAGGACTACCATACTATTTAAATAGCATTAAGGAAAGGAGGAACACAAGATGCCACCGAATTTTTAAATTGAACTGATTTGCTAAATTTGAGCCAGGATATACTCAAACCATTTTTAAAAAATAATTAGCATGCAGTTTTTGGAGGTGAGATGAAAGCAGAAAATGTCTGTCAATTTATTCAGCATATTTAATGGATGCCATAAATCAAACCTTTTCATGAATTTTCTAGAGCACATTCATGCCAATCTTTGAGCCTGCTATTGTCACTTTCACACATGCTCATAGGTACCACAATGACAAGAAATGGCATATCTGTCAACTACTGGTTTAGAGATTAAAAGGACACACCAGTGATTATACATTTTCATAGCTATGAATATTAAATATTTTACAAATCTTTTCAAAATAAGCTGCACTACGCATGTCCTTCGAAATAAGGTCTTTGATGTCTTTCAAAGATTCATTACAGTATATTTACCTTTTGTCGACCCGCCTCCCAAAAAAATGGTGCTACAACGTTTTCTGAATAAGGCACCTGCCTATGGGCGTTTGAGTAAATTTCCAAGAGCCTGATTAGAATACTGCTAAAGTTAGGGCAAAATATGATTTTATAGGGGGCACTTTCCTCTCCAAAAATAGATGTATTCCTAGGTTTCATTTTACGTTCAATACTTTTAAATTAAATACAGCAAGTTGTAATTTTAGCTAAAAGCCCTCCGATAACTCACTAGCTGTATAATTGCTACATCTGGTGGCAACATATTTGAATGCAAGGAGCCAGAAGTTGGACAGCAATCGTAACAGAAAAGAGCAAGAATGATTCGCTTGCACATAACCTTTATGCTGACATTCTACACACACATACCCCCCACAATATCCTTTTCTCTTAGCAAGGAAGTGTTCCACTTACAGTAGAAAACAAGAATGCACAAACACTCCAGAGATGATGGGGAAGGAAAGTTGCAACCATTTGAAAGGGGTGGTTTAGGAAACCTGCCTACAAGAAGGTTTGTCTTTTCAATGACTCTGGGGGCGGCGCAAGGGATCAAAGTCCTCCACGACAACCTTTTTTTTTTTCTCCAGAACGCCTCTCTCGAATCCCCACAAGGAAGCGACCCCCTCCTCCTGAGGGGCAGCCTGAAGCACGCTGGCCAGTTTCAGGCAGCACAGAAGCTTTCAGGAAGGGGACCGCCTCTGTGGGAGGAGTGCAATAGGCTACGGGGAAAGGGGAGGGGGCACAAGAAGGATGAAGGCAGTGGGGAAAAGGGAGGAGGGAGGTGAGATCCACCATCGATTTAGGAGAAGGGTGTTAAAGAGTAACTAAGCTCCGAGGTTCGTCTCCAGGAGCAAGGACGGACCCCGAGGCACGCCAGAAAAAGTGGTGCGCCCTGCCCGCCCCTCCATCTGCCAGTCGCCCCCCGAAGCACCCCACCACCCGCCTCAGCCCGGCGGCGGCCCCCGGGCCGGCTTGGGCCGCCCCATCCCCCACCTGCAGGGTCCCCGGGAGCAGGGCTGGGGTCCGAGGGGGAGCCCTGGCCGCAGCACCGGCGCGGGGCGCGACGCGGCGCGGCGGTATTTACCTTCCTTGGGCCTCCCGGATGGCGGCGTGTGATTCAGCAGCGACCTGGCTGCTGCCGCCGCCGCCGCCGAGCCCGGGGTTGGAGACGTGGAGAGCTGGGACCAAGATGGCGGCCCCTCCAAACTTCCACTGCTACTTTGGACACTCATCAAGCTACTTTCTGGGAAGCGGACACCCCCCCGGCGGCGGCGGCAACGGCGGCACCGGCATCCGCCTCAGTCATGGCCGGGGCCGTGATGAGGAGGGAGGGGAAGGAGGGAAGGGAGGGAGGGGAGGAGAAAGGGAGGGGAGGCAGAGGGGAGGGCGGGCGTCGAGGGGGGGATTCCTGGGGGGTCGCCGGCAGGAGGGCGCTCCGAGGGGAAGGGGAGAGCCTGGAGAGGTTTCCGCGGGCACAACCTGCCGGCCCCGCCGCACTGCGTCCGTCTGCCTCCGCTCCTCGCCCCTGTATCCGAGGCGGCAGCGGCGGCGGCTGCGCTGGGGCGGGGGGGCTGGGGCTGGGGCTGGCGGCGGAGGAGGAGGAGGCGGCGGCGGCGGCGGCGGGGTAACCTCTGCATCAGTTACAGCAGGAGGAGCAGGAGGAGGAGGCGGCGGCGGCGGCGTCACGCGCCGCCTGTGCAAACACTATCGCGAGGCTCCTGCACCTCCGGTAGCGGCGGCGGCAGCGGGAGCATGCATCGTGGGGGGAGGGACGTGTGCGGGGGGTGGGGGGGAGGAGATGGGAGGGAAGGAGCTACAGAGGGAGGAGATGATGGTGATTGACTCCCCCTACCTCCTCCTCTTGGGCGACCCCCCCGCCCGCCCAATCCTAGTGCAAAGTGTGAACACTAGCCACCCTGGCAGCCCAAGCTTCCCACCCCAACTGGAGCTGGCGGAGAACTCCCCCTCCTCCCGAGGCTCGCCCGGCACACGCGCTCCTCCACCTCCTTTTCCTCCTTCTCCTCCTCATGCCTGCTGAAAGCTAGTGGTCTCCACGGGCGCCGCCGCTGCCAGCAGTTCCAGCCGCAGCCACCTGACTTCCCCTTTTTTCTTACGGAAGCTAGGGTTACTGAAAACCCACCCACCCTGGGACCCCCTCCCATCCACTCACCCACCCCACCCCCTTTTTTTTTTTGGCTGGGGATGAGGATTGTACGTTGTGGAAGAAAAACTGCTTCTCCTGCAACTGCTTAGCTGTCACTTTCTGGCCGTTTTCAGTCTGAAAAGTTTAAACAAGGTTTCTTGTTTCCCGATTCCCAGATAGTCATCTTCCGTGCGCTGCTTCAAGTCTGACATACAGCAAAATCGGAGTAACGATGACCATTTAAGTAAAGTGGGAACGGAAAAAGCCACTTAAGAATTTAACGTTTTGTAAAATAAATATTTGAGATCGTCCAATGAAAGGACTTGCAAAGTATTATTGCCATACTTGTAAAAAAATACCCTAGTCTTTTATCAAAAATTACGGAGTAAAAATAAGTTGCAAAGTCTTTATACTATATTTAATGCTTTGTTTAATAATAGCTAGCAATCATATAGCACTTTAAGGTTTGCAAAGCGATTTACATATATGTATATGTATGTAGCTATATGTGACTACATGTGGCTGTATATCCTATATAGTGTATATATATATATAGCTATATAGGGATGTATATGTGATATATAGTACGTGTCTATGCTATATTATGAGTCCATGTGGAAATATAGCTACACACATGCACTGTATATCATATGTCCATATATAACTATGTATACATACATACACATACTGTATTATCTCCATTTTATACATGAGAAAACAGCCTGAGAAAGGTTAGGTGACTTGCCCAGGGTCACGAAGAGAGTAAATGTTTAAGGCAGAATTCAAATTCAGATCTTCCTGAGTCGGGAGCACTCTATCCACTATGCCACCAGACTGTTAATAGAACAGTCCAATACTCTTGTAAATTAACTTTTTTTCTTTTTCTTTCTTCTTTTTTAACTAGGGTAAACTATGATAGCTGTAATGTAGTGGGAAGAGCAATGAGTTTGAGATTAGAATCCTAGCTTTGGCACTAGCTTGTGGAAAGCATTTAACTTGTGTGCCCCAGTTTTTTCATTTGCAAAATGAAGATAATGCATATGCACACATATATGCATATAAGCACACACAGGATTTTGACCAACAAATGAGAATATATTAAAAGTATTTTGCACTCAATATTGTACCCTACAAATGTTATTTCCTTGAAGCACAATTTTGGTTACCATGTAATGACCACACATCTTGCAGTTATTTGCAATACATCTGGTGTTTGAAGGTATCTCTTACGCAAAATGGAATGCATCATTATCAGCTCAGGAAAATTGGAACAAAATGTTTGTCTTTTCAAAAGTAAATTGGATGGAGCCTTAAAAATGTATACTCTGATTACCTTAGAAAATAAGTTATTTTATTTTCATTTTTATGATTCTGTGTTTCATAACACTAATACTTTGTATTCATAGAATACTTCATTTAGATAGCACCTTAAAATGTTAATTAGACACTTCCTTAGGAATTGTACTACTCAGAATTCTTATTTTGGTAGGTTTTCAATTAGTTCTGCAAATCACATTAATGGATGGATATTAGAACTTTAAATGTTTTAAATAGATTCAAAGTCTCAGATTGATATTGAACTCATTTTTAGTGGATTTGGAAAGAATGTGGGAAATGAGCCTTCAACTAACAAACAGAAGAGGTATTTTTTAAAAAAGTATATGTTATAAAAGAAAATACATTGATATTTTTAAAATTATTATTAGGGGGTTTTTTTTGGCTAGGCAATGGGGTTAAGTGACTTGCCCAGGGTCACACAGCTAGTAAGTGTTATATGTCTGAGTCTGGATTTGAACCGGGGTCCTCCTGAATCCAGGGCCAGTGCTCTATCCACTGCACCACCTAGCTGCCCCTAAAAATTATTATTAATAAGAATAAGGATAGCTAGCATGTATATAGCTCCTACTGTATGCCAGGCTGAGCACTGTGCTAAGCACTTCACAAATATTATCTCATTTGATCCTCCCAACAACCCTGGGAGGTAATAAAACTATGCTTTGATTTAAGACCAATAAGTTTAGCCTCCTAATCTCTCTGTCTTTGGTCTCTCCCCTCTCCAATCCCTCCTCCACAAAGCTGACAAATTATTATTCCTAGTGCACAGGTTTGTACATGTCATTTCCTTACTCAAGAAGCCACAGTGTCTCCCTATGGTCCAGGACAAAGTACAGACTCTTCTGGCATTTAAGTGATTCTATTCTTCACAGTCCTACTCTAACCTATCCTTTCTAGGTTTATTGCATGTTACTTCCTTTTACATACTTTACAATCAAGCGTTTATTAAATACCTACTAGGTGCCAAGAACTATACTAGGTGCAGAGGAGACAAAGATAAAAATGAATGCCTTCAGGGAGCTTACATTCCATCCAAAGAGACAGTAACATATAAATATATTTAAAATAAACATAAGGTAATTTGGAAAAATCAGAAAAAATCTCATGTAGAAGGTATCATTTAAACTGACCTTTGAAAGAAACTAGGGATTCTCTGAGGTAAGGGTGAGGAGGAAATGAATGCTAGGCATGGGGGTCAGCCTGTACAAAAGCAGTGAGAGGGAGAATCAAATCACCTGTAAGGAACAGCAAGGCCAGTTTGATTATACTGTAGAGTGCAGGGGGGAGAGGAATATATAAAAAGACCAAAAATATAGATTGTAAGGATTGAGTGCAACTTTAAACACCAAACAGAATAATTTGTAATTTGATCCTAGGGATAATAGGAAACCACTGGAGTTTATTAAGCAGGGAATTAAATTGGTCAGACCTGTGCTTGAAGAGTATGACTTTGAAAAAAAAAATGAATATGACTTTGGCAGCTGTGTGAAGTATGTTTGGAGAGGGAAGAGGCCTGAGGCAAGGAGACCAATTAGAAGGCTATTATGACAATCCTGGTAAGAAGTGATAAGACTGTGAACAAGGATGGTAGCTTGGTGAATGGAGAGAAGGGGGCAGGTGCCAGAGATATTGTGGATGTACCAATAGGAAGGCTTTGGCAACTGAACAGGTATGTGTGGTGAGAGAGAGAAGTGGAGGATGACTCAGGTTGCAAACTGGAGAATGACTGGAAGAATAGCAATGACTATCAAAAAGAGTGCCTTCAGAAGAGGTATTGGTTTGAAGTGAGGGAGCTTGGGGAAGTTGGTGAGTTCTTTTTGAATATGGTGAGTTTGAGATGCCTTTAGGATACCCAGTTCAAAATGTCTATGAGGCAGTTAGTGACCTGGAACTCAGGAGAGAGAGATTAGTCAAACTGGTCTGCCTCTTCTTCTCTTAATATCACATTCCATTTTGAACAGGCTATCCCAAATGCCTGACATGCACTCCCTCCACAACTCTACTGCAGCAACTTCCAGCCTTTCTTCAAGACTTAGCTTGAGTGTCACCTCTTCCCCACCCCCACCCACAAACAAATTGTGTTTATCTTGTAGTTACTTATCTGTGCCTGGGTTGCTTCACTCGATTGAACAAAAAAAGCTCCTCCAGGGCAGATTGTCGTCTTTGTATGCTCAGTACTTAGGAGGCTCTTAATAAATGCTTTTGGTTATTATAAAACTAAACTCCAAATCTCATCTCTAGTCTGAACCCTTTTTTGGAATGATGGGAGAGAGATTTTGGCAATGGGAAATGGGAAAATTTGCCATATGAGGGAGATTATGGAAAAATAAGAATGGGATGAGTAAGTAATGGTAATAGTAAATAAATTTGCCAAGGAAAAATAGAAAGGAAGGATTGGTTTCTTTTTGTTTTGTTTTAAAATGGTAGAAGGTACAATGCAAGAATGAAAGTAATCAGAGATTTCCTGGTGAAAGGGCTTAGAATAAAGTCAAGATCTTCCTCAACTGTAAGGTGATCATGTTTTACATCATGTATAATGGTCCTATATTTATGTACCTTAGCAACTATCTCCAAAAACCTCAAAGGTCAGTAGAAACCATGTGAGATCCTTTTTTTCCATAAGGAAAGAACTGGAACCAAAGCAATTGCCCATTAACTGAGGAATGGCTAAACAGATTCTGATACCTGGAGAGAATGGGATATTATTGCACCTTAAGTAACATGGCATATGAAGAATTCAGAGATGATTGGAAAGATATATGAACTCATGAAGAGTGGAGTAAGCAGAACCATGACAATATACACAACTACAACGATGGAAATGGAAACTAGAAATATGGTAT